TTCTCCAAGCCAGAGGTTTATATTAAGTCATGCTTTTGCAGTTCTGTCATGCCATCAGTAAGCAGAACATGTAGTAGGTGTTAGGAAAAAATATGTCTGGTGAATTTGAGTACCACATTGTCATTCTTTTACTGTTACTAATACCTTGCAGAAGATCTGTCAGAAATCTTGAACAACTCCAAACTCCTTCCTGGAGTTAGACCAGCTTCCTCCAGCGAGATCATGGACCAATTCTCTCAGACCTGTATGGTGGCAGTAATAAAGCTTTACTGGATTAATTTTTAATTCTTCCAATTCCTCGCTGTATTTTTTTTTCTTTTTTACTTTTTACTGACATTCCCACTATTCATCCTACCTTTATCTCACAGACAATGCAAACATCCTTACTGAAAACTGAAGTGAAGGATTCTTGATGGACTTGCAGTGTTCATTTTCCATAGTCCACACGGTGGAGCCAGTTCCTCAACAGTCACATTTCTGACACCACTTGGAGCTAACAGGAGGCCTGAGATGCCACACAGTGCAGATTCCTCTAGTCCAGCTGAGTTAACTAAATAAGCACTGAAACAAATACAGTTTATGCAAGTTATTCTTTACCTATAACATCCTGTGTTTAAATAAATGTTGATAGTAAGAGACTGGTATCCACTTCTATCTAAAAAGCTTTTATATTTTGCCCGCACATTTATTCATACAAAATCCGTGTATACAAGTGCTTTTGCTTTTGTAGGCTGAGAAAAGTCCAGCTAATTCCATTCCTAAAGACCCAAAGAATCCTATCACAAAGTAAGAGAAGCTACAGATTAAAATCTCCCACTGATATGCACCAAACTGGTTGCTGATTTGAGTAATTATGAGACCTGGACTGTAGGACATGTAGCCCTGCATACTGGTAATAGCCTGTCTGACTAGCTCTTGCAGTCTACATAGCTCTTTGCTCTCTGCACATGATATCTCAGTCATCCTTCATGGTTATGATAATTTCCCCACTGAAGTAAAAAATGAAGACATTTCCATTAAAGTTCACTTCTTTCAGAGAGCAGTGATTTTTTTTTTTTTTTTTCCTTAACACTGCAGGCTATCAGCCATTAAACTGTAATTTACGAGCTCCCACAGTGTTGTGCATTCTCAGTGTAATAAATCTCTGTTGGAGAAAGAATATAATCAAGTAATAATTTTTCTTGTCAGACATCATTGAGCATCGGATGGGATCAATGTCTACAGCATACCTAAATTTATAGCTAAACAAATGCTACTGACCCTTGAATAAACAGACGAAAGTTGATTTGTTGCCCAACAGTGTGTAAGACCTATAATTGAAACACTGATTTCATTGTCTCTGTTGGGAAAGGTAGGAGATGCAAGTTTAGAAACAATACTTTCCATGACTAATGTCTTAGAGCACTTTGCTATAACTCCCACCACTGAAAAATTCTGAAAAAGGCAAGGAGTCAGTGTAATCTAAATTGTAGATATGGAACGTGTCTTCTGCCTTTAAAGTAGCAATCGTGTCAGGACTTAGATTAAAGAGAATATGGTACAGTATTAACAGTGAAAATAATTATGTCCTTATACTGTTGTCCATCATCAGGCTATTTCATTGCCACTGTAAGAAGTCCCATAAAATATTTTGAACATTCCCAACCAGAGTTCTAAAATGTGCTTTCCACAGCCTTAAAAGCCCAAAATCATAATATTTGCTGTGTATACAGGTATGTGCTCCTCCTTTTAGAGGTGACGGGGAGTGAAGGTCTAATGCAGGGAATCTTGTCTGGCAGTTCTTTATGAAAGCAACTTCTTGCTGGACCCTGATTATGACTTTTACCCACAGTTATGATCTGAGTACACTGAATTTTGCTTTCTGTTGTTTTATATTCCAATCAATTTGAACTTTTACTATGTAACAGTATAAAATAATTAATAATTGATTAGTTAAATTTAACAGAAGTGAGCATTGACACTCAATAGTAATTTTCAAAAACCTGAGAAAATCTGCTGCTCATGCTACTTTGCTGAGCTCAGCTGTTGTAGTTGCTGTCTGTCTTCCGTGATGGAAGCATGGTGTTCACTTATCACAAGTTATAGCAGGAGGCTTAGCCATTTTTAAACATGTTTCTGGCATTTGCTTGCTTTGTAATTCTCTAAATGCTGAACAAAAAGTAACATTACATTAGAGCTTTGGGTTTTTTGTTGTTTTGTTTTTTTTTTTCTTGTATTGAAATGTCTTTAATGAGGAAATGAAGTCCCACAATTCAGAAAAGGTTTGCCTGGAACAGCTTCACAGCATCATCGAGGCAACACTACACAGAGAACCATAAAACTTACACAGTAGATCCATTTCTTAATATTTGCTTTTGTATCTTCATATTATAGGTGTGGTCCAGTTCTCGATGCACCTGTTCAAGTGAATAGCCTCTTCATTTGGCAATATTGACTGTGACTGAGCTGTTGAATAAGACATTCTCTAAAACTTGTTGCCTGGATAGACATCGTGAATGTAAATGCATGCATTTCCATGTCAACACGGGAACTCAAAAATACCTTATGTGGCAGGAAAAGGAGTAGATGAATTCCATTTATGCATACACAAAGAAAAATTCGTGACCAGTAAATAAGCATTATAGCAATGCATGGTTATAACCAGTCAGAAGAAAACAAGCTGTTGAATGTCTCCTTGCCTCAGCTTCAGACTCACTGTCTGGTCTGTCAGATGCACAAAAAATGTCAAGCTTCCCTAGTTGGAACCAGTGGAGGGAATATGTGAGAACTTTCACATAATCTTAAACTCGGATGTGGAGTTTTGCCAAACATCCCAGATGGATAGGGCACCTGCAGAAAGCTTTCCCATCTACTCCTTGTCCCTGGGGATCTCTGTATAATCCATCTATCCTGTGTTTTCTGGAATTTATTATCTGATTCTGGGTTTTCCATCACTGTATGGACACTTAGTTAAAGCATAGAAATAACTTCATTATTTGTATTTCATTTGGAATATGCCCCAAGTTGCACCTGAGAAAGGAAATGTCACGGCCTTCACCATAACAGAAGCTAAATCCAACTCCATATACATAATTGCACTGGCCACAGCCCAGAAACCCCTCTTGCTTATGTTTCCAAAATAATCTATGGCTCAGTGTTATGTATCCAGCGTCAGGTCTTGATGTGGACGTGGCTCCTCCTCATGCTTTGCTAACTATGTGTACTTGATAAGATCTACAGAGTATGTTACCAGCCTGTCTCAGTGGCTGTCTTATCTCACTGCTTCACTTGTGCCAGGGTTGTCTCTAGCAGCAGGCTTTGTTCAAGTTTGCTCTTATGATTATTTTTTTTTCTTTAAATTTCATCAGGATTTTGGGTGGGCCTTCAATTATCAATCTTTCTCCTGGTGTTATTTTCTTGCTTACCTATGTCTGGTATAGAAAAGCATAATTCTCTGCACAGGAGGTGGTCACTGCAGGCTGCAAAATGTACTGGCGTAGCAAATGTGGACTTGTTGGATTTTTTGTACAAGAAGGCTGACAAGAAGTTGTCAAACTCATTGGAATACTTACGAGCTCCCTGCACTAGGTAGCAGTCTGGCTGACCCATATCATGAGCACCAGGTAGACTTTTGCAGAGGAGATCTTTCTACAGAAATGAATGTTTCTGACTTAACTTGCATTACCATCGCCGCTACTATAGTGAGACAAGCTTGAACCTAATGTGGTCCTCTGCCTATCTAGTAATATACTTCTTCAGCATGTTTTTGTTGTTCAGCCTAGTCTGCTGTATATTCAATGAAGCAAACTTGTTGGCTCTGACAATTAAACATGGGTGACGTGTGTGCATGTGTGTGTGCGCGCATGCAGGAGCAAATATTTTCCAGGGCTTTGAAAGGAATTGAAAGGTAGCAGGCAAAACAATATGCAGTTGACAGAAACGGGTGCATGGCATTCAGAAAGTATCCAAATGAGCTCACAATTATGTGTTGTAGCTGCATTGCATTGCAAAGTGGGTAGATGGGAACATATGCTGAAATACGCAAGTGTTTTACCCAGCATTCCAGACAAGCGTGCCAACATATTTTTAACATTCACCTAGATGTGTTTATTTGGGTTTTTTTTCCTAGTTCATCCACATATAAAAACCTTTACCTAACGATGTGGCAAAATTACTGACACTAACAAAATTAGCATTTTTTTCTTGTTTCAGTATAGATTTTTGTTAACATGGACTTTTAAATAATGTTCAGTGATTTAGCAGAGTGTGCCAGAGAAGCTCTGGGATTTTGCAGATGAGTAGCAATAAACATTGAATAAATCCTGGAATAATGATACTTTTTAGAGCTATCTACTCTTAGTCAGTAAGCATAAGATTCTGCTCTTTGACAATAGAAACTGTGGAAAAAAATGGGTATTGTGACATAATAGCGACATAATTTAACTCAGCATGTTGTTGTTTTTATTTTGGCAGACAAAGATCTGGCTGTTGATAGGTTTCCATTCATGCCTACCATGTTTTCCATAACCTGGCGTGGATTTCAGTGAAGTAGAAGGCATATGACAAACCGGCTTCTTGGCTGTGACATGTCACACCAACTATGGCATGCTCAATGAAAAGCACTGTGTGAATGTCTTTTGCACACTGCCAGGCATGCTATGTGCAATCGGCTGCAAAACAATATGGTGCTTTCTGCAGCTTTTTGTTGTATTATTTTTCACAAATTCCTAATTAAAATAGAAGGTATGTTATATTGGTATTTCTACTAGGCACAAACTAGTCATTCCAAAACTGTTCTGCAATATGGTGCAATCATTTTGCAGTCAGGCACTGAGATAAAACAGAATTAAAGCAGGTGTATTTTAGCCTGCTCTATTGACTGAACAAAGCCAGTGCACTTTCACCTTACCTGTCATCATGCTCCAGACCACTGTCTTGCAGGCCCTCCACTGCACTCACAACACTTACTCAGTGCCTTTCTTGTACTAGCAAGCTTAAAATTGGACTCCAGAACTAGTTGCATGAGTGTTGAAGACAGGGAAGTTATCACTCCCATCAACCTCCTGATTACACTCTTGTTAATGCAGCCCAATGTGTACCCCAGCACGGACACACCACTGACTGTTGGTGTGTTTGAACAAATGAACACGAACAAATGTTCCATTCGTCATCCGCCAGGATCTCCATGTCCTTTTGTGCAAAGCTACCTGCTGGTCACTCTGCACATCATGGCATCATCCCCAGGTGCAGGACTTTGCACTGCCTTTGTTGAACTTCGTGAGTCTCCTGCCAGCCCATTTCCCCAACCTGTAGAGGCTCCTCTGGATAGCAATCCGTGATTTCATCTCTGAACTTGCTGAAGGTGTATTTTGTGCCACTGTTCAGGTTATTAAAGTTTTGCCAGTAAATAGAACAAGTGAAATTTCACTCCAGGACAATAATGGAATCTCTACTGGACCAAATCTTGTTCATAGTCTCTAAATAAGTAGCTATCTTAATTTAATTTAAATCGGCATCATCTCTTTCACTTAATTCTTTCTTTTTGATCACAGTTGTACAAAATTTCAAGGATAGGGACTCTGTGTATACTGGAGGATTGTACCAATGCATTTCTGTTTTTACTGGATGTATTTATTGACTTTGCCATTGGCTCTTTTCACATGTCCACTCACAGACATTGTACTCTGCCTTCCTTTTCTCCTTTCTGTTTTACGGACTCCTGGCAACCAGCCTATCTTCTATCATGCAAATAATTCTTATGCCACAAATCTTTTCCCATCTTTTTCTTCACTGCCGCCCCTTCCTATTCAGTCCTTTTTCTCTTTTCTGCTTGCCCCTGGAATTTATATCAGTCTCTATTATCCTTTTTCCATACTCAGCTCCCATCTTCCTTACAGCAAGGGCTCCGTATGTCCCTTGCCCAAGCTATTGTCTCTGTCACACAATAGAAGCTTCATATCCCTCTTCTTCCCTTTATTTCCCTCTTCTTTTTTCCTGCTCAGCCAATAAATCACTCAGTAATTTATCAGTAAATATGCCTAACTGGGAAGATGAATAGGGAAAACACTCAGTTTATAGCTGGGCAGTACAGTATTAACTGGTGTGACCAGCTGGCTGTTTATTTGATCTTCAGAAAACCACAGAGGTATTTAAGCTGCTAGAGTGCTGTGGTGCTACCCGTTCCATAGTTATCACATTACTTCCAAGCAGACAGATAGAGAAATGTTATCAAGATGATGTCATAATGCTTAACCAACTGGCTTATGTGATACTGCTCCCAACACATTTTTGAAATATGCTGCAGTTCTGAGGTTGGGTCTTTCTAGGCTAGTTTTAGGCAAGCTTATATATCTAAAGTAGTATGTACTAAAATGCCTCCCTTTTGTCATCACAACATTTCCCTCATATTTTTATTCTATTGTATATGCACATTTTTCAGATTTACTGAATAACATGCCTACTGTACAAATACCTATACTGCTGAAGCTGACCAGCAGTTCGGTACGATGGCTTTCCTAGTAGCTAATATTTTATCCCCTTCAGATGATTTTCATATATAACTATGACACTAAGACAATAATTTCTGAACTACATCTTTTTGAAAAGCAGTGCTTCATTCACTCCCTTAAAAGATTATGTCATTGTCTGCAGCAATATTTTCAATTATTTTTTAAGATAAAATATGAAATCCTTATGATATAATTTCTTTCCACATTTTATCAACAATGCACTACTATGTTGAATTGCAATAATGAAATGAAAAATGGGAAAATGTTGTCTACTTAATGTTTCTTAAGCTTTTCTGGGCGTGACCAGCTGATTTTCATGTTGTGGCGGGGTTTATATTCAATAAAGGTAAAAAAAATAAAGTATTGTCCATCTTCGTTTTTTCAAGCAAAATTATAGATAACTTACCAGCTTTCTTTAGAAGCAGCTCATAACATTTCTTGTGAAGTATAACTTCATTACTCTCTTCTGGTGAACCACAAAATATCCAGAGGAGCTTCAGCTCTCAAATTCTCTCTGTTTAGGCTGTTATATATTCTTAGCACCAAACTTCACATTTAAAGGCTCTGGATGAAACATCTGAAGATGGTGTGAAACATGTGCCATAGACTCTGCTTACGGTTTGGTAACCACAGATATGTTGGATAACTTTCCCAGAGATCTCTGATCTGTTCCTTCTGCTCTGTATTCAATTTTGTAAATAATATATTAAAAGTTTATTTTGGGGTGAAACAGATGTAAATGGGTGACTTAGCATTCTCAGTCTCTTGCAGAAGCAATTCAGTATTACAAATATTGCTATAACTCTAGAGAAGTAAGCATGGCCTTAGTAAGAACAGCCTTTTGGCAAAGGCTTCAGCTCTTAAGAGCAATGCTTTTCCATTGCATTGTTCTTCCTCATACAAACAATGTAGGGATGAGGAGGAAGAGAAAAGGAAAGAATTACCCTCTGGGAAAAAATGCTTGTATTAAAGACACGGTATGTAATCAGCGTTTATATGAATAAGCAAAAATGGGGTTGGGGTATGCTATATAAGTGGCAGCCTGTGATCAAAGATAAATTTAATCTTACTTGTAATTGCTGTTGATCCGCCTCATAATGGAAGAAATAATTTTTCTGTTTTGTGGACTTTCTCAAGCATTTTTATAGTTTTTTCTTCACTTAATTCTGAAAAGAAAGTAAGCAAGGAACAAGATTCTTTGGATGAGAATCCTGTAATAACCTAATGCAGCAGGACCTGATTCTTCTTAGACCTCATCACAGGATTTACAAAAGTACCACAGAAATTTCCCAAGCTTTATTCTTTTATTATGAAAAAAGGAGGCAGGCAATTATACTAATTTCTATGGTTATACATTAAAAGTCTTTTCACTGACTCTATAATTTGACCTTCTGTGTGACTGGCTAGCATAGCTTCATAGCTTCTTTCTCATGTTCTCAGCAAAATGCCAATATGGGAAATTTCTGTAATTAGAGATGAAAGCATCTGAAAGTTGCGGAGATTTCTGTGAAATATGTGAATAACTTGGAAGAATAAATGTACCTTTATAATGAAAGTTAAATTTATACATTCTGATTTGATGAGTTTTGGAAATGCATATATCTAAATGCAGGAATGAAGTCACAATTATTCTACAGAGAAATATAGTAATTCTTAGATTGATACACTGAATGTACATATAATTTTATTAAAATATTTTTGTGTGTGCCCTGTACCTAATTTCAGAATAAGCTTCAAATAATTTCTTCTCCTGACAAAGCCCTAGTTTTAATGGTGATTGGTATTATGTGGAAAAATATCTAGCTGAAGTGTAAAGCCAAGCATATGTAGGAGAAGTAAATATAACTGCCCAACCTAAATCTCTTGGCCAACTATGTGCCTTTGCCTCTTTGAACGGGAATTATTCTTATACTTGTTCAAAATGAGGCTACACACTCTTGGGTTAGCGATCTTTTGTCTTATGCATCTGAAAGGAGAAGTGAATAATCAAGAGGGATGGCAACTATATATAGAGGTGATAGTTTGCTAATTACCCAAGGATCTTGCACTAATTCCTGGTCCCTTGAGCAAAGCCTAAATAGTTATTTGGGAGGAATCACTATGTCAGGATTGCTAGAAATAGCAACCTCCTCCACTCTTTGGAAGTGAGCTATGAAACATGAGCAAACACAATCTCTTATCTATTTCTGGGACTCATTTTTGTATCTTTGTACCCACCACCATCAATAGCATCAAGGGTTTGGTTGATGGATCCTCACAATTGCAGATCTATCCTCCCACCATGTTCCTCAGAGTTTTTAGTTTACTGACACAGAAGATGCTTTTGTTGATGACTTCTCCATGACATGTAAGGAATGTGGATTTAGGCTGTGCTTTCTGTCCTAGGACTTTTCCTCTCAATAGTTATATTGCAGAACTATTTAAGTTCTGACACATTTCAGTCCAGAAAAAGGTAGGTAAGGGGCAGGATCTGGACCATAATTCTAAAAGTGTTGAGGTTAGTCTTACATCTAAACCATTTAATGGAATATCTGAAGTCATTTGAACCACAAATGTCTTCTGATAAAGACATGCTACAGTGAACATAGGTCAGAGAAAGAGTGAGAACTGGAGCTTTTTAGACCGGGAAGTTAAGTTTAAAAAGAGTGGGGGTTTCTCTTCCAGATTTTCCTTATGTGTGTTCAGATCCTAAGAATAAGAATTTCATCACATCAGTTAATACCAAGGATTGAGAATAAATGGTTTGTGTAAGCTTTAGAAAATTATTCTGGTAAATTTAATCACCTGTTTAACATTTGACTGGTCCTTTTTACACTTAGAGTTTAAGGTCAATGTAAACTAAACAAAAATATAAACTATACGTTAGTGTAGAGGAGCCACCAAATTGTGGGAATTTCACAACAGACATGTTCAGATTTTGCTTTTACAAAAAGATGAAGTCAAATTCTTATTGTTCTAAGCCTCAGTGTCAGAGCACACATGAGCAGATTGCTCTACTCTTGAATGGAGGCTTACATTTCAGTGTATACACCATCTGGGTAGTACTTACAGTAACATTGTACTGGCTATCATCTAACAAGTGTGTTGAATTTGCCTGTTTATTTTTTAATGGGCAGATGTGTTCTGGTGAATTTTAACCTCATTTCTTGACTGATTTTAACTGTGAACTTGACTATTAAAATTGATTTTAAATTAGAAACCAAGTCTGTCTTATATTATTTTTGTAAATCTTATTGTTTCATTATCTAAAGCGGCAGATTTGTTAGTTACAACGCACAGTTGGAACCCACCAAATTGTGACCTGTGGTCTACCCTGAAGTAACTTCCTGTATCTCATCAAGAAATTAGAACAACAAAACATTTTCAAAGTCAAAGTTCTAGTAATTTTGTGCATGGGATGAATCATCAAGAATCCTGGATTCCTATTTCTAACTGTCTCATTATTCTGCTTCATAATTGTGAGCTACTCTCAGTGCTCCTGACTGTCTACCTGCTTCCCATCTATCTCTCAGTCCTTTGAAGAAGGCCTTATTAAATGTTTGTACGATATCTAGCATGATAGGTCCTCTGTCTCCTACTGTTATATAAAGAGCAAATACCAACAATAATAACTACACAGTAATACAACCTATAAATATGTGTGGATAATACACATTAAAAAAAAAAAAAAAAAAGGAGAAGCCTCCCTGGCATCCAAAGGAATTATCTTTTGTTGTCAAATTAAAAAGCGTCTCTTTAAAACTTATGAAGTAATGTTAGTTTTAGCAATGCATATAGAGAAAACCTGTGGTATAGGAATAAAACCCACGCATGACTAATCAGAATTTCATAATGAAGACATATATCTGAGCATTTTGGTCATTGAAACATCAGTATTTGGGAGAGAAACATTTGTTCAAGTGCCTTAGAGATCACATAGAAAACAATATATTCAATATATTTGCTCATTTTTCTTGTATAACTTATCCATAATTTAAAAGCAGTTATTGACATAGTGCCTGAAAATGTATTTCACTGAATCCAGTAGTCTCCAAATTGGAGACATCGCTGAATATATCATGATGTGGTTTGTGGCAGATTGCGATATGCTGTTGTCCAATGGTGAATATCATTTTGCTCTGTCAAAGCTTTTTTATTTCACCCTCCACTTTAGATCAAATTTAATTTTGACTGCTGTGTTCTATGACATCTGTATATTTGCTTAAAACACTTCTTTTGTCTGTAACATGCAGGGAACTTAGGCCATGTTCGATAATGAAAAGCCCAGCAAAGACTTTTTAATTTACTGGAAGAGGAGATCTCCAGCTGGTAAGTCCAGTGTTTTTAAGGGATTCTACAATGGGCTTTTCTGAGAAGGAAGTGAGTGTGTGTTTTACCTGGAGAGATGTGTTGAGGGACACAGTGTGCTCAGGCTGGGGGAAAGGAGGGAAATCCAGAAGGAAGGAGTAAGAACACTGTCTGGAAGAAGGAAGAGCATCACAGAGGAAATAGACAGGAGGAAGTCTCCTGCCTCATTTGGTGATCTTAATGACCCTCAAGTCTGACACAGAAAGGGCTCAGCGAAAGCAGGTAGATACACACAGGACATTTTTTTTTTCCCCTCAGAAGTAACTTACTTATTTGATTTAAAGGTCTAATTTAAAGTGTCTAAGGATAAAACTTTAGTGAGGCTAAAGATTGTTCCTTAGATATTACTAATGGCTCTAAAACAATGAAAGTGTGGGTGGGTTTGGGTTTTTTCCCTCTTTCTTTCCTTACTGTTATCATTAAAATATTCCTTTTCAAATGTGGGTAAGTAACTATCAGCGAACAGTGTTGTTTCTCTAAGTGCAATTACAGATAGTGAGAAGAGTACTAAAGGAGAATGAATTAGCACTGATACTGACAACAATCTTGGTAGCCAAGGCAGCATGCTGAGCTCCATCTTAGTTGATATAATTTGCTACTTTTCTTTGAAAATACTCTAATCCCTCGTTTTTCTTATCCATGATGTTTTCTAGTTTCTATATTCCTTTGATTGCAGATCTTGGTACTGATGTTTCTCTTCCATGTGGGAGTCTTCCAGGATTTGGCACACATAATGATGCCTTTATGCACAAAACTGGTTTATGTTTTACCAGGTTTATAAACTACCTGCCTTGCAGTTGATATGTCACCAGCAGGATTCCTGTCCTGATGTGGATGTGAAATTGTGATAAACCTTCAAATTTTATTTGGAGGAGTTTTAATGATTCTGTGATATATTCATAAAATCTTTTTTAAAAATCACTGTGGAAGGAGATCCCATTTAAACCAGAGTAAATATAAAAGATTATATTAGATTAAATTAGATTACTCAGGGTTTTGTCTTCTTGTCATCTTTCTAGCTAGGCAAGGAAGTTCTTTTAGTGGATGCAAGGCAGATATTGGAAAAATGGGGAATGGGAAACCTTACATGTGGCAGGTGAGACCAAATAATCAGTATCAGTGCATGAATACAGGAGGCACCAGAACTCCATCTCTTCTTTCTTTTCCTCTCCTCTTTCCAGAGACATTTTCTCATTATAGTTTCCCTGTTTAACACTAATTTGGTTCTCAGGAGCAAATTAAAAAGCTGTTTGTATAAAAATAAACTGAGAAACTGGGAAAAGTTTCTCAGAAGAGAGATAGGTACTGTCTGAACAAATGTTGGACTGGAAATAGAGGTGCTTAGTCCTGGGCTACTGCGGGTATGCTACAGTCATTTTTGCTCCATCTGGAAGTCTGGCAAGTGTACTAAGGCACTGGGGGATGCTCTGGATCTGAATATTAGTCTGTGGGACATGGCAATGAGAAGGTGGAAAATGGAAGTGAAAATTGAGGAAAAAGTGGGACATATGTGCTCTGTAGGGCATAAATACATAGCTCCTGTGTACCTTGTTCACGTTTCCACTTTTAACATTGCAAAGTTTCTAGAATACCTTGTGTGGTTCCAAACCTTTATGTGTTATCTTGCCTCAAATTGTTCATGGTACACATATATGTAATTGTTCCTTGGCTAACATTGCTCTTTAGCTTCAATAAATCTTCTAATTTCTTGGTGTTTACCTCTCTGATGGTGTGTATATACAGACAGCTGTCACTTCCCCTCTTACCATTTGTTCACTATGCAAAGCACACAAAGCTTTTATAGTCTCCTCTTGTAAAGAGGCTCTTCAGTTCCCTTGTCTCCCCTGCACCTGTTCCAATTCATCCTAAATCAGTTTTATGAGGATGACAGACCTGTTTCAGAGGAGGTCATACCATGGTCTTTCCAGCTCCAGTGACATGCCCTCGGTTTGTGCTTGTTTTTTGAGAGCAGTTCCTGACTGGTAATGCTTATTGACATTTTATCATCAACTAATCCCACTCTTCCTCCTTCTCTTTCACTTCCACTTCAGATTAGAAAAAACAAAAACATTATCAGCCAAGACCATGATTCAAGACCACTGTGTTGGTTAGTTCTGCTACTAAATTTCACCCACTGTAGTTTACACAATGTTCAGGGGTATTGAACTTTTCTGTATGACAACCCCGTGCTTCCAGGTTGTGCCAATTTGCTTTTTTTCTTTAATCCATTTGTCCTTTTGTCCCCGCTTCATTACTAAAATAAAATAATCTTGCTTCTTCTTACTCAGAAAGTCTACTAAAATCTAAATTGCTGTAATTCACCCTTCAGTCCAATGTCTTGTCTACTGCCTAGTCAGTCCCTCATCCATTTTATGCCACTGGTGCTAACCTCTGTCTTCTCTAACTTGCCTGGTAATTCTCTACGTGTCAGAAAAACAAGTATTTTTTAGAAGTCATTTGATTTTTGTGTGTCACATGCAAGTCACATAAGGAATGCATGCGCACTAACAAGTATTTTTACAATTTTGAGTTCAATTCAATGCATAACACCCCGATAAAGGAGAATTAGAGCTGAAGGAAAACAAACAGATCCTATGCTTAATTTGATAATAAAGTTTTTATCTGGAGGTGGCAGGAAGTGGATTTCCAGCTATTTTAGTGATATCCAGTTTCCAAGAGTCATTGCAGTTGGAAGCAGCACCTTTTTAAAGCCCAGGGGCAATTAATGCTACTGAATTTTTGCAGGGAAGCTGTTTATGAAGGCAGTGGGAAACAGCGCAGCGGGGAGCAGTGCTGGAACCCGAACATATACGTGGGAATTTCATAGGGAAGGGTGTGAACCTGTGATAGCCATTTGCACACAGAAGCTGTTGGACTCATCCCCTCATCCCCAGCTGACCTCCAGATCAGGGTTATGCTGCACATTGAGTGGGAAACACCGATGTGGTCTCCTCGGGAGGGACTCAGCCTCTCCCAATGGGATGCGATGCTGTCTTACGGCAAACAGGCTTACTACAAGCAACTATATAAAGCCCAGCCACCCTAATTTAATTTCAGAAACCAGACAGCCGAAGCTTCTTGGGTTTTGTGTCTACCTGTCTACGTATACGTATTTCACACGAATTTGAAAAATGTTCCTACATTGCCTGTACCTCATTCTGGACATTCCTGCCTTTCTTTCTCTGTTCCCGGCGCCGGGGCAGGCAGCAGCCCGCTTCCCCTCCCCAGCGCCGTCGCGGGTCCTTTCCCCGCAGCCCCCGGACGCCAGCACAGCCGGGGGACACAAGGCGGGGGCCCCGCGCTGCCCCACGCCGGGACCACCCTCTGCACCCCCCGCGCCGCGGGATCCCCTCAACCCCCGTCCCCCGCGGCAGCTCTGGGGAGAGCCGCCC